TTTTTGACTATGTCATGAAATTCTCTGTAAAAAAGTGTCCATATAATGTCGTAGTTATAATACTCCACCTATAATAATAACCAAGATAATTGCACTTATTGGTTTTACGATATTTTCAATTTTGGCCTCTAGGGGAAAAACAAAAGACGGTAGCGCTATGAGGTTTTCGGCGTTAGCAGTTTCTCGAAAAACGAGATCATGACATGTAAGCTACTTTTTTTCTAACTCTTATAGTTTCCGAGTTAGCCTATTCGGACATCGAATTTGAACCACCCTGTACACATGGAGCGGTGTTGCCACATTAAGCGTATTCACGAGCGAATCTCGTTTCGAATTTTTCGCCAGCTAGGTAGGCCTCTTAATAGCTAGTTCTAACCGCCCAAGAAACTTAACCCAAAAGAAAAAAAGAAAGAAAACCTCAATAAAACATGCAGTAAAAACCGACTTTCTTTGTCTTTTGTACAAGAAAATAAATTAGGTACATTTACGGCCGCCTCCGTTACGAACGTAAAGGGGGAACCCCACCGAATCTCTGCACGATGGGCGATAAAAAAAAGAGTTTTCCCGGTCACATAATAAAACGCGAACTTCCGAAGAACGAAAGTTAAGAAACAAGCATCCAAAGAGTCCTGTACTTACTTTCTACCGCCTTCTGTCGCTCGAATTCAACCGAAACCGCGGATGAGAACTTCATGAAACGTCAGGAGTTTTATTACTTCTACTTACGAGTCTCGATTACTATAGTAATCGGAACACGTTGCGGTCGTTCGAAGCTAAATTAAAACGAAACGAAACCCGCATCCTTTTAATTAATTAAAAAATTAACTTTATCAATAATAAAAAAATAACTTACTTTCTAAATAGAGATTGCTGGTTAAATTGTAAAGATTATGAACAAACGGATGTACATTCTCTGAAGTCAGCGATTCCAAGTTGTTCCCACGCAGATCAAGTTGCGACAATGCCAGAAGGCCCTCAAGCAAACTCGGCGACAGCGTGTTCAGGTGATTGTCTGCGAGATTCAAGTACTTCAGCATGGTTAATCCGGCAAAGGCCCTGTCCGAAATGTACGCTATTTGGTTGGACTCCAGTAGCAAGTCCTGAAAACGAGAAAAACCAGGTTACAGTAAAAGCGATGAAAGTTAAGGGGGAGCCCCAAACACGTGTGAGCATGAGAAACTACTACCGGATTTGCAGGTGGATGTCGTTCGCAGAAATCGTAAAAGAAGTTGAAAAGTTTTGAAGAGGGGAAAGAAGTATCACAAGTAGAGGTGATCGTTTATTTAAATATTCTATTTTACTTCTTTTTCATGTAAGACGTTCGCGGAATTTTGAATCAGATCGTTAAACTACAATCAAATCAAATCGCATTACAATAATGATTAATTTATTCTTTTTTAACAAAGTAACCGGCAATTTAGTCTTTGCACTTCGTCGAATCAGTACCTTTTCATTTCGGATCCCTTCGCTTTACAGAGAGAGGACACAAAAAAATTATCGCAGTCGCGGAAATTACAACGAAGGGAAGCGGAATGAAAACAGATAAAAAGACAAATGAATCACGCTATGGAGTACCGGAAGTAGATGGCACTAATTTAATCCCGGTAATTGCCACGAGTCTAGACCAATTAACCAGTTCGGATGTAGCTTCGGACAAAACATTTCATTGTTTTATAACGTCGTCTTTTTGCTTTCCTGCGGCCCTTTTGTCATGCACCCGTGACTTTTTCGTACTTATTCTGACAGTTCGTGTGAAAAAGTCTCGCATGTCGCACTTTACAAAAAAAATTTTATTAAAAAAAAAAACATAACAAGAAAGGTGAATAATAAAAGCGAACTGTTGTTTATTAAATTGGTACAAGAGCAAAATTGGATCGTAGATCACGATAAAATCGCACAAAAAATTTGGAATCTCAGGGATCTGATTAATTACGAAATATTATACCATTACCAGGCTTTAATAGCATTTTTTTCGAATAAAAGCGACCGTTCGTTTAAAACCGCGCTATTATACACGAAACCATTTACCTCTAAATTGTAATTTAACACGCAGCTAAAATGGACTTACAAATGGATGCGATATGATAGTATAATATTCACCCTCGTTAGTGTTTTGTGCCCACTAAGATTTTAATTTTGAAGTATAAATTATATTTAAAATAAATTTTTTTGGGAAAATTCTGTTTAGATTATGTATAAAATTGGAAAAACCAAATTTAGAGGGTTTGTTTAAAATTCCCTAATAATTTTAATGGTGAACACCTTTTTTTGATGTCTCGATTCGTTACTGAGAAATCAATGGTTAAAGTTATCCCAAAAAATTTTGAAATTATTTTGACACTTTCTGTAGTGTTGAGATTAAACAATGCTGTTTCGGTTATGTATAGAATTGGAAAAATCAAATTTGGAGGGTTTGTTTAAAATTTTTTAATAATTTTAATGGTGTAAACCTTTTTTTGATATCTCGATTCGTTACTGAGAAATCAATGGTCAAAGTTAACCTAAAAAATTTTGAAATTTATTTTGACACTTTTTGTAGTGTTGAGATTAAACAATTCTTTTTAGGTTATATATAAAATTGGAAAAATCAAATTTGGGGGGTTTGTTTAAAATTCCCTAATAATTTTAATGGTAAAATCCATTTTTTGATATCTCGATTAGTTACTGAGAAATCAAAGCTCAAAGATAACCTAAAAAATTTAGAAATTTAATTTGACACTTTTTTTAATGTTGTGATTAAACAATTCTGTATAGGTTATATATAAAATTGGAAAAATCAAATTTAATAATAAAATTCCCTAATAATTCTAATGGTGAAAACCGTTTCTTGATATCTCCATTAATTATTGAAAATTCAATGATTAAAGTTATCCAAAAAAGTTTACAAATTCAAGTTGACATTTTATAATTTTTTTTGTAAAGAATCTTTTCAACTTGGAAAGTTTGAACTTGGTATAACCTAACCTCAAAGGATCTTTTATAACCTCAAATAATTTATTTTTGCGTTTCAATTTCAAAAACTTTCATAATGTTTAATCTTAAGTTAATTAATTTTAGTATCTTTGGTGAATACGATTGTCGCTGCTGTAAAGCAAGATTAACTCTGTTTAAAAGTTTTGACGGTAGAGGATTCATCTCTCGAGATTCAATTATGGAAATTGATACACCACACAGAGATCTTGTCCCCCATTTCGAGGTTCGGACCGATTCCCCTTACTACAAACTGAATGGTGGTCGTTTGTTTTGCCGTTATTTGCAGAGCAATTCCCCCTTATACGCAAGAGAAACTTCGGGGGAATCCGAATTCCTCTTTCATAACATTATTCAGAGCAGTTGGGGTCCTTATTTATTAATTAACCGACCGGGCGGGCGGGAATGTTGTCAGGTGGCGGCGTTTTGTTTGCTGAATTCGAAAAATATTGACGGATACCGTGCTGCGATCCCTTTATTGTTGAAAGTATTGGTTACCTAAATAAGGTAATAATTATGTCGGAAATTGGATATGGTAGGTATCAAAGGAAGTGTTGGGATTTGTGAAACCAGACGTAAGAATTACTCGTTTTGTCCTAGAATAGGGTATAATCGACGACCTCATTCTGTCGACAACGCACCGAACCCGATCGATATTGTCGTGGATAGCAATTTTAAAATATGCAGATAGCTTTGCGTGCTTAATTGTATACGGTTTTGTTATCTGGGTTACTTCAGTTAAGGTTTTAATAATTACTTGGTAATTTGTATTAAATTAAAAAAGAATAATTAATAAATTTTTATTGGGTTTGAGGAACACGAAATTAATGGAATACAAATTATAACTCCATGTTTTGCACTTGACCCCAATTACCGAACAATTATCACAATACATGAGACGTAACTTTCGTAATTACGTTGCTGTCAGGTCCCATTGTAATATTTCAACGTTGAAAAACAACCCCCCTTTCCCCCGCATCTTTGCCACCAACTCTCATACGCCCGTGTCGCTTGGAGCGATTATGGCGCGTTTTAGTCGCCTTCAGCTCGACAATTAAGCTTTCGCCGCCGGTAGGGTGTCGGCAAAAAGCCAACGCAGCCGCAATCCGCCACTTAAAACGTATTGTTCCCGCAGACTACGTTAATATCTCCTCATAACTTAAGGCGTACGCCCTGTGTATCGGGCTTTCAATTTTACTTCCTCCCTCTACCCCTCGTAAATACGGACCATAAACAACTCGGTGCGCCATGTGTTTCAGTTCATCCTCAGCGCTAGGATATTGGGATTTTTCCCTCGTTGTTTTACATTGTTGCTTATAAAATGTTTGCTATTTTACATTTTATACCGGCGCATTCGCCAAAATTAAATCAATTTTTAACCGTTTCATTAGAGTCATAAATAATAACCGTAACTAGGAGTTTTCGTGCTTTAACATTATTTCATTATAATTAGAAAAGTAATCAATTTTCGATTAAAACTCTATATCGTTGTATAAATTTATAATTTTCTTTTTAATGATATTTTAATACACATCCGGTTGTATTTGTATTGTGATTAGGGGAATACTAGATGGTTTAAACCATTCTGGTTTCGGTTCGCCATTAATATTTCGTAGCGTTTAGAAGCGTAGAGGGGTTTTCAATTTCCCCACAGCGACGGTTCTGTAGTTCGAGACGGAACCCATAAACTAAGGCTGTTCTGGCCGCCTTACGTGTTTACGGCTTTGTGCCCTTCCGTCTGCGTTTCCCGCAGCAGACTTGGCTGCTTTGCTCGGTGGTTACGTAGAACAACATCCAATATAATCTCCATTATACGGTTCGCCGGATCCGGCTATAGCCTCATCGTTCGCCGATTATTATAACACACGGGAGCCGCAAAGGTGCACCAACGATACGTTACATAGAAGATCCTAAACTTTAATAATAAAGCAATCCATAAATAAACCAAATAATAAACGTTTATATATCAATTACAGTAAAACTTCGATGTAACGGACTAGTACGGAGAAGGGAGTTTGCGTTATGTCCGCCTGAAGATGCACGGATAACCCCGAAACTTTCTAGTTCTAGGGTTAGTTCCAATTTTAGTTCAATGAAAAATATACAGCAATTATAAAAACATACAGGGTGATTCTCCTATACGCATAAATTTGGGGATTTATTCCTCACGACAAATAATGAGTAATAGGTGAAAAATATTGCAGCAAAAGTTTATTAATTTCCTAGATATCCATGAGATTTACTTTCAAATCAAGAATACATATAAGATTTTAAAATGCCTAAACCAGGGTGTTGGCGGATTGTCTCGGCAGCAGTTTGTACCTGATTTCGCAATACATGCTTAGTATTAATTTCCTCAGTATTCACTTTTTCAGCTGCAATGTTAAATGCTTGTGTTAATCACTGCATGCCATCGTCGAACGTTTTGGTTAGATCAACGTAAGAGAGGAAGGCTGTCTGACGTTTTTTTGAGGGAGTTCTATCTGATTCTTTGATACATTTTCCTCAACATTGTGTGATCCGTACATGTCATTCTTCATCTCGTCGGGCGATTGAGATGGCCAGTTCTATGAATTATCTCGAGCTGTCCATCTTCCAAGAAGTACCTTATCTAGATATCGCCGGATATATATAAAAGAAAAAATCATTATACAATCTATTACCCATTATTTGTCTCGAGGAATAAATCCCCAAGTTTATGCGTATAGGTTGAGAATCACCCTGTATAACAATAAAACTAACACTAGATCTACGTCTATGTCTGAGGACGCACGGCTAAACCCGAAACTTTCTTGTTGTGGATATAGTATTAGTTTTATTTCTGATTCAATTAATTAAACCTTAGAAACATTTTATCTTTTTTAAACCCGACATTAATTAACTTAAGGTTAAACATTATGAAAATTTTTGAAATTGAAACGCAAAGGAATTAAAACGATAACCTGTTTGAGGTTATAAAACATTTTTGAGGTTAGGTTATATTAACCTCAACCAAGTTTAAAGTTTCCAAGTTGAAAAGATTCTTTACAAAAAAAATTATAAAATGTCAAATTGAATTTATAAACTTTTTTGGTTAACTTTAATCATTGATTTCTCAACAATTAATGGAGATATCAAGAAACGGTTTTCA